GATCTTATGGTGATCTCTGCAATGATAAATCAAAGTAATCACAGTGGCTAAACGGTTAGCACTTCTGCTTGGCAGTACTAGGGTCATTGGTTTGGATCCCAACCACGGCACCACCTGCCAGGAGTTTGTGTGTTCTCCCTGTGCCTGCGTGGGTTTCCTCCCACCCTCCAAAGACATGCTGGTAGGTTAATTGGATCCTGTCTAAATTGTCCCTAGTATGTGTATGTATGAATGTGAGTTAGGGACCTTAGATTGTACGCCCCTTGAGGGTTAGGGACTGATGTGAATGTATAATATATATGTAAAGCACTGCATAAATTGATGGTGCTATATAAGTACCTGAAATATATAAAGTAATCTGTCTCTCCTTAGTAACACCTATATACCACCTATAAAAAAAAATAAAATAAAGATTGACTGGTATCAACACATAGTGGATCTGGTCTCTAGCTTTCTAAAAGACACATGTAACAGGTAATGCATATTATCAATTCCATCAGCATCTGCATACTAAGATACTAATACTATACTAATAGAAAGCAAAATATATTATATATATATATTTTTTTATTATTATTTTTTTTTCTAATGTAGTAATGCCAAGCTAGTATACAATAAAAAAAAATAATGTATTGCATACTTGCTGTAAATATCCTGTTTGCCTGTTCCACACTCTCCCCCATCTCTAGTTATGAAACGATTGATCTGCTTGCTGTTTTCTCTTTATTCTTGCATAGACCATGCAGGAGAGAATTCCTTTTCTGTACCTTTAAATCCACAGAGGTCTTCACGCTGGACCTTGTAGTTCACAGACAGCTGGAGTGTCACATGTTGCCTAATCCTGCTTTAGAGGGTTGAATATATTGGATATAGTCTCCCAGATTTAAGGGTCTGCGCTTATTTAGAAATGTGCCTTTGAACATTTAAGGCTTAGGGAAATACCCTTTCTCCATTCACCAGGATGAGCCATAACAGGATTATCTACTGGAAGTTGCAGAGCTGCAAACAAAACACTTTTTCTTTGCATTTGAGATCTTACAAAGTGAATGCATTCTTTAATGTCATATATTAGAAGGGGGAGGGGCACCATGACTAGTTAAACCTCAGGCACTTTGGATTATTATAGGACAATATGCGACAGGTTAAATGATCAGCATTAGCAGTGCCTTGGCGGGGCATGTCTCTGCAAACTCGCTGGTGGAGAAAGATGCCTCTAGTGCCACTCCCAGACATCCCACACTTTTATAGTAGCTAGACGCAGTATTATTTTACAAGCAGTAACACCGATTATTACATTTGTCATAGTGTCTTTCATAAGAACCATCTACATTGCTTCACAGAACCCAATCGCTACCAAAATGACAGAGGAAATTGTAAACTTTAAATCTGATTGGTTGCAATGGCCCAGTACAGTTGGTTCTTATAAAATAAAACACTTTAAAAAATGAGACCTCACAAAAATGTTGCTTCACCAGTTCATCGGACAAAATTTATTGTTTTGGTTAAATAAATACCATCATAAATGCTATTTAGGCACTGTTATATAGTTCATTTTTTAAAATCTAGATTAAGATACTTTACACCAATCTTTGCTTGGATATCCAATGACATTATGGCAAATTAATTCTTTCAGTGGGCACATCTGCTTGTGTATGTGGTTAAAAGGCAGTTTTTATTGTTCTCCGCATGAACTGGACGTTTTGCATTCCCTCTTAGATTGTAAGCTCTAACGAGCAGGTCCCTCTTGTACCAAATTGTATTGTAACTGTAATGTCTGCCTTCAATTTGTAAAGTGCTGCGCAATCTCTTGGAGCTATATAAATCCTGTATAATAATCATCTCTCTTGGTCAGTTTTGGCCATCTACATGTTTAATATGTAATTAAATTTATCCACATCTCAGGTAATCAGTTTTAAAATTCCAGTCTTCATATGTATGGACAATTGTAACAATAAATAAATACAATTTTAAAGAATCTACTCCCTTTAATTACATATTCAGACCTACAAAACCTGTTCAATGGGACTTGGATAAAAAAAAAAAGAAATATCTGATATAAAATAGATAGATAGCTAGATAGGTAGATAGATGGCAGATAGGATAACTTTCAAAATAGCTGGCATTAGGAAGAAAATATTTTCTAGTTTTCCATCATGAAATACACTCTTGAATGTGTTTGTGATGTTCCATTTAGGCACAAAGGTAGCACATGGTTAAAGGGTCAGAATACACAATTAAAGGGAGTAAATTGTATTTTCTCTGCTACAGACATCAGGGGGAGATTATTGGTTATGACCCACCACTCAAGCAAGTAGCAAGGCATACATGATGCCAATTCTTTTTTCCCCATTATTTAAATGACAGTATTTCTTTTGAAAGCTAATTGTTGTGTTCCACACCACAGAACAGATTATTCATCTTTCTGTAATACACTGGAGATATACTTTGAAGAGACTTCACAGTTTGGAAAGTCATCCAAATCTCAGGTTTATGATCTGCAGACTTTGAAAGTTGATATAATATAGCAAAAGATGAAGTATTAAAAGCCTCTCCGTGTCATGTTATCAGGTACAGCCTCCTGAATAGGGTTCTCTCTGTACTAGATCTCATTTTGGATAGAAACAAGTGAAAGAGTCACCTTTTAACCCCTTTGGTGTACAATAGGCTTAAAATGTCAATGGACATCTACCTAGAACACCAACATAAACAGGATGATTTACAAAGGGGCATGCACTTTATGCCAGGTCATTGAATTTTTGTTCACTTGGAGCAACAAGTTTGGGAGAAATTAGTTTTAATAGTTTTTTTTTCCTTTTTTTTTCTTGTTCTTGCACATGTAACAAGACAATACAAGACATGTGTTGACTTCTACTTTTACCTGCATCCTGCATTCCTACAAGGAAAATACATAAATTGTACACATTTCTGCAAACATAGATCACACATGGTCAGAAGTATGCTTGATTCGCTTGACCCTCCCCACAACATTTTGTATCACATTACTGTTCAAATTAGTGGAACACAGCAAACATTACAGAGTTGGATGTTAATATTTTTCGTACAGGTGTTGATAAAGTTTGGAGTTTAAGTGATAACTTTTATTGGCTAATATGAGTTATTGAAGATGCCAGCTTGTGGGATAACTCATATCCCAGAAAAATGTATAAAGCGTGACGAAGAGATCTGAGTTATCGCAAAAGCTTGCATCTTTAATGACTCAAGTTAGCCAAATATCACTTAAACTCCAAATTTTCTACATTAATCAATGGCTAACATGGTACAACACTCTACTGCATACCGGTAACCTAGGTTAGCCCAGACCAGTTACAGTTCAGTAAATCCTCCCCCACATCATTCAGTAATCATTTATGGATACAGTTGCTAAACTATAACACCCCCATACAAAGTTCAAAGACTCCTCAGTCGAAAGTACATTATTTTATTTTTTTAATAAAATAGTAGAGCATGAAAAATAATTGTATGTTACAAATATATATATAGATATGTACAAAAAAATAAAAAATAACAACTGTGCCTATTCCACACAGCAAAAGAGCAACGCAAAATACAAAGTTTCCCTTGCAGTATCTAGTGCTTTTTGATCTATTCATGGCTAGAATTTGTTTCACAATAGAAAGAGTCAATAAGCCCTTTGAATTGATCCATCTTCTTTTTCTATCCAAACAGTCCCAACATGTATAACATTTGGCTTGATTTCCATTAAAAAGCCACAGGGTAGGACTAAAAGGCTTCCAAAGGATGGACCCCTCAGTTCTTTTGTCAAGAAACCTTTTGTTGCCCTCTGTTTGCAGAAACATAATGTGTTTCTGGTTTTGACATAGTAGGGAAAAAAAATAAATATTGCACATTATTTCCCAGTGACAGACCTAAATACTGCTCTTGTAGTTTTAGAAAATCAGATTGCCTTTGAGTGTCACAGAGGTCAGAAGGCCATCATCCTAAAGAAGGTTTAACAATATTTAATGTTACAACCAGTGGGGAAGATTTATAAAAAAAATTAGGAATTAAAAAAAATAATAATGTAGGCTAGGTATGATCAAAGATTTCAGTAGTTGTCAGTAGTTTTCAAACACTTAGGATGACTAGACATGATAATCAAAGGAGATGTGACCAATCAGAGCACTACCAGAGAAAAGCGAGCAGCGGAAGTGTTAACAAGCTCATATTCCTCTGTGTCCGTCACAGATTTTCAAGCCTGCCTGAAAGCCTCTGTGACAGTTTATGGATCAGTTCCTGGTTTAAAAAAGAAAAATAGAGAGATGTGCTCAACGTGTCCTTAACAAATAATGAGTTGCCCATGTCAGAAAAAAACTTTGCCAACCACACATTGGACAATCTCTGATCTTTCCTCAAATATGCATTACAGATCTGCCTAAGGGTGGCCACCTTTAAACTGGCCACACATTAAAATCTAAGAGTACACCCTCCTTTACATTTACCAACAGCTACTGCAATGGCCTACTAGATTGAATCAAATTTGAACAAACTGTTTAGGAAGGTTCTTCCACTACGTAGATGTTGATTAGTTTAAAGGAAACTGTACAACCAGATTTTAAGATGTGTGGCCAGCTTTAGAGGAAGCTTGGAAGATTATCAGCTAGTGGGTGGAAATGTAAATAACCCAAACTTCCCCTTAATCTGGCTGAGCCCACTGAGTTGTGTAGAACTTGACTCCCTACACTAAACTATCCCCTTACTTTGTGGACATCACTAAGCAAAACTAGTAAACTTCAACCTAATTAGGATTACACATAATACCAAACAAATTAGTACTGTAGGAGGGCATTTATCATAATGTCCCTTTAAGCCAGGCAAATCTATTTATCCACAGGATAAATAAAACTCAAGTTCTCTTTACGTCTTCTGTAAAGTAATTTTACCTTAGCATGCTGCATTGTGGTGGCTAAGACACAAAGTTCAGAGCTCTGGGTTTGCTAGAGTGTGCAATTTCTAATGAGCAGCCCCCTTGCCCACCCATATCATACACAGGTTGGAGGCTGTAAGGCTGATTCATACTTTCCATGGTGGATTTTTTGTGGGTGTTGAGTTTTTTTGTAGATTCCCGTACTTGTTATGACACTGGCAGGTTTTCGCCTGCTCCTTTTCTTTAATCGCTTGCTGAAAACATTCTGCCACGATTGTAAGGTTTTAGAAGTCCATATCCACATCCCGCTAGTGATACCCACCACTAACAACATAAATATTTTCACCATGAATATTTCTACTGCTGGGATAGAGTTTGTCATGGTACAGTCTAAGGTCTTAGTCTGAGCATTCATCTTACACTTATCCTGCGTAGCTAGTATTTTCCAGTAGTCCATGTTTAGTCGCTCGTAAAAGTAGCAAGCAATGACACAGGTGGCAGGAACAGTGTAAAGGACAGAGAAGACCCCAATTCTGACCATTAGTTTCTCTAGTTTGTCAGTATTCTCCCCTCCAGTTTTCATCACTCTCCTGATATGGAAGAGGGCCACAAACCCAGACAGGATGAATGAGGTGCCTATTATGAGGTAGCATGCTAAGGGAATAAGCACAAAGCCGGTCAGGGCATTGACATCCATGCTCCCCACATAACAGACCCCAGTCAGTTCATCCCCAGCCACTCTCCTCATCACCAAGATCATGATGGTCTTCACAGCTGGGATAGCCCAGGCAGCTAGATGGAAATAGCTGCTGTTTGCTTCAATAGCTTCATGGCCCCACTTCTTCCCAGCAGCCAAAAACCATGTCAATGTTAAAATAACCCACCATAAAGAGCTTGCCATGCCAAAGTAGTAGAGGATGAGAAACACTATGGTGCAACCAGTGCTTTCCAGGCCCTCCTGGATAACATAAAGTTGTCCGCTGTCCCTGTCGCAAGCGATACTATCAGCTCCAGCAAAGAGTCGAATGATATATCCTATGGAGTACACGCAGAAGCACATGGACAGAAAAATAATAGGCCTTTCTGGGTACCTAAAGCGTTGGGGGTCTATAAGGAAAGTGAGGACAGTGAAAGCACTGGAGAAAAAGCACAGTATGGACCAAATAGCAATCCAGATGAAGGCAAACTTCTTGTCATTCTTGCTCCAGTATACATCAACTCCGGATGTACAAAGAGGGGCACAAGATGCACTTTTCTCTACATGGTGAAACTTTCCTGAGTTCTCACAGGTCGCTCTGCTCGGAATATCCTTAGGTTGTGGGTCAAGGCCACTATTAGGTCTTGGCCTAAATATAGGAGGCAGCATACTTGACCCTCTAGGAGCCTCGTCAGATCCATTATTCGGGGCTTCCATGCACAGGTAATTGGGGTCATTTTTATTGGGCAATTTGCTGCAATCAAGAGAGTCCGGCCACTTAAAATTAAACTGCTCCATGATGGGAGAACACTTGAACCTGGCCTGCTCACACATGACCCTGCAGGCTGGGATAGGGGTGGACACCTGCTCAGTGCACATGGGAGCATACAAGGAGCACAAGAAGAACTTCAGATGACCATGACAGCCATACTCCACCAATGGGGCAAACTCGTGCAGCTGGATGGCTGCCTCCCTCTGGTTTTCATGTCCCATCAGGTTAGGCATCCTAGTCATGTTGTAGCCGATGTCCTTACACATGGGGATCTCTATGGCTTGACATTTGCCTTCCCCAGTCCGATCGGTGTCTATGGAGCTGATCCCAGAGCAGTGGCACACTCCTAGTAGAAGGAGCAGGGTAGATCTGAAGAGCGATGATGGGATCTCCATGCCTGCGGTTCACAGGAGAAGGATCGGGACTGAGATAATAGCACTGTGACACTGACGGGAATCAGGAATGCATCCTGCCTTCTGGATGGAAGGGGTAAGGGAATAGATCAGTGTCCTCCACTGTGATCCCGAAGAGATCAGTGTCCTCCAACGTGATACTTAAGAGATCAGTGTCCTCCACTGTGATCCTGAAGAGCCCAGAGTCCTCCACTGTGATCCCGAAGAGATCAGTGTCCTCCACTGTGATCCTGAAGAGATCACTGTCCTCCAACGTGATCCCGAAAAGATCAGTGTCCTCCAACGTGATCCCGAAAAGATCAGTGTCCTCCACTGTGATCCCGAAGAGATCACTGTCCTACACTGTGATCCCGAAGAGATCACTGTCCTCCAACGTGATCCATAAGAGATCAGTGTCCTTCACTGCGATCCTTAAGAGATCAGTGTCCTCCAAGGTGATCCCGAAGAGCTCAGTGTCCTCCAACTTGGTCCATAAGAGATTAGTGTCCTCCAACGTGATCCCGAAGAGATCAGTGTCCTCCAAGGTGCTTGAGAGAGATCAATGTCCCCAAAAGTGCTCCGGGGTAGATGAGCGTGCTCCTGGAGCGATCAGTGTCCCCGAGTGAGCTCCCGATCAGCGGACCTCTGCGTTGACATGTCCAGAGGCGGCCCGATCAGCCTGTTCCTGTCTGCCGGGTGTCTGTCGTTATGTGCTGCACTTGCAGTCGATCGGCGGCTGAGTGATGCAGACACTCCTCGTCACTCCTCTTTCTGAAGCAGCTGTGTAGGGGGCTGTGTCCCGGGATGAGAAAAAAAAAAAAAACCTGTTGGAGATCCGCCTTGCATACGACATCTACTTTGCATAAGAAAGGTGAAGCTGACACGTTGATTAGTTCGCAATGGGTCGGAACGGCTGTAGCCCTCCAGCAGGACCCCTGCACAGAGCTGCGATCCCACACTTTCCCTGCTCCCCCCTCTTCTCCTCTTCTCTCCTCTCTCTCCTCCTCCTCTTTCTTCTCCCTCCCTGGGGAACTTTTCCAAGTGTCTACAAAGAGCTGGCCCTCCAGTGCAGGTAGGAAGTGAGTGAAGGGGGGCAGGTACCAGGCTGCACTGTTTGTAAACACAATTTATTTATTTAGGGCTCAGAGACAAAAGGCATTCAGGTTTATGGCCACTTCCACAGACAGCTCCCAAGGGCCCGAAAACTCTCTCTTTTGTTTCCTGATGACACTCACATGCTTTGAACTTTGGCTACAAACATATATCAGGTTTTCTTAAGAAAAAAAAAATGCCCCAAACCTGTGTTTAGAGGAGTTTTCCAGCATAATTCACCCCGTACACGCATACACGTGCCTAAACCTGCGCTCATGTGCGTACATGTATTCTAGGCGGTAGAAGTAGTCCACATTCTAGCCCAGCCTGTCTCAATCTTTTCAGCACACCCTTCAAATAACCATTCCCTCTAAGGCAGTGGTCTCTAAACTGCAGCCTGAGGGCTGGATTCTGCCCTTTGCTTGTCTATCCACTTTTCCTCCCACTGTTGCAAGACACTATTTCTCCTAGTGACACCAACAATGGGGAATAATTCCTGGTACTACCATCAACAACAGGGTACTATTTCTTCCACTGACACCAATGATGGGGCACTATTCCTCCTACTGACACCAACTATGGGGCAATATTCCTAACAATGACACCAATGATGGGGCACTATTCCTAACAGTGACACCAATGATGGGGCAATATTCCTAACAATGACACCAATGATGGGGCACTATTCCTAATACTGACACCAATGATGGGGCAATATTCCTAACAATGACACCAATGATGGGGCACTATTCCTAACAATGACACCAATGATGGGGCACTATTCCTAACAATGACACCAATGATGGGGCACTATTCCTAACAATGACACCAATGATGGGGCAATATTCCTAACAATGACACCAATGATGGGGCACGATTCCTCCCACTGACACCAATGATGGGGCACTATTCCTAACATTGACACCAATGATGGGGCAATATTCCTAACACTGACACCAATGATGGGGCACTATTCCTCATACTGACACCAACTATGGGGCAATATTCCTAACAATGACACCAATGATGGGGCACTATTCTTAACACTGACACCAATGATGGAGCACTATTCCTCCTACTGACACCAACGACAGGGCACTATTTCTCCCACTGACAGCAACAATGGGGCAATATTCCTAACAATGATACCAATGAGGGGCACTATTCCTAACAATGACAACAATGATGGGGCACTATTCTTCCTACTGACGACAACTATGGGGCAATATTCCTAACAATGACACCAATGATGGGGCACTATTCCTAACACTGACACCAATGATGGGGCACTATTCCTCCTACTGACACCAACAAGAGGGCACTATTTCTCCCACTGACACCAACAATGGGGCAATATTCCTAACAATGACACCAATGATGGGGCAATATTACTTACACTGACACCAACGAGAGGGCGCTATTTCTCCCACTGACACCAATGATGGGGCACTATTCCTCCCACTAACAACAATGATGGGGCACTATTCCTCCCACTGACACCAACGAGAGGGCACTATTTCACTGACACCAACAATGGGGCAATATTCCTAACAATGACACCAATGTTGGGGCACTATTCCTAACACTGACACCAATGATGGGGCACTATTCCTCCCACTGACACCAACGACAGGGCACTATTTCTCCCACTGACACCAACTATGTGGCAATATTCAAGGGTCGATGGTTTAAATCCCAACCACAACACCTCCTGCCCAGAGTTTGCATGTTCTCCCTGTGCCTGCTTGATACTCCAGTTTCTTCCCACACTCCAAAGATTTGCTTATAGGTTAATTGGATCCTGTCTAAATTGGCCCTAGTATGTTTATGCATGAATGTGAGTTTGGGACCTTAGATTGAACACCCCTTGAGGGTTAGGGACTGATGTGAATGTACAATATACTGTATGTAAAGCGCTGCATAAATTGATGGGGCTATATGAAGTACCTGAAATAAAATAAATAATATTCCTCCCACTGACACTAATGATGGGGCACTCTTTCTCCTATTGACACCAACAATGGGGCACTATTGCTCCCACTGACACCAACAATGGGGCTCTATTCCTCCCATTGACAATAATGATGGAGCACTATTCCTCCCACTGACACCAATGATGGGGCACTATTCCTCCCACTGAAACCAATGATGGGGCACTATTTCTGCCACTGACATCAACAATGGGGCACTATTCCTCCCACTGACACCAATGATGGGGCACTACTTCTCCCATTGACACTAACAGTGCAGCACTATTCCTCCCAATGACAAAAATGATGGGGCACTTATCCTACATTTTCCTAATTGTTTTCAACCAGTGACAAGAAATTTGAAGGGAGCAGGATAGAACATTTTTCTCAACTGAACAAACATCTAACAGTGTATGTGATTTTTGTTCTGGAAATTCTATACATACCAAAATCAATTGCTAGAAGCGAACAAAATTTTGATGTACTTTTGAATGACATTCATTAAGTCTCTGTTGGCATTATCAAATTTAATGATTAGATTCTGCATACAAATTATGTCCAAAAATCCATCAGAGTATGGCCAGCTTTAAAAAAAAATTGAACAGATTCTGCCATCTATGTTAAAGCAGTAGTAAACTGCATAAGAAAAAAAAATGAAGGACTTATCTTGAATCAAAGCCCTCCAGCAGAGCGCTGTAACGGTTTTCATCTTCAGCCGGTCTGGCCAGCTGACTGCCCGAGCCACGATGATGTCACTCCTGCGCAAGCGCATAGGAGTCCTGGGCTACGGCACAGGTATGTCGTCCCTTCAGAGTGCATGTGCTGAATATCAAAAAGGGCTAATTTCTCCTAAACGGTTCTCGTTTAGGACATATTAATTTTGCCTACAGGTAAGCTTTGTTATAAAACTATTAAAGAAGAGTTTACTACCACTTTAAACAGCATGGATGGACAAATCTTGCACTGAGGCTATCGTATTGTGAGAGCTGTCACAAGTGGCTCACCAGATTTCAAATTTGGCCAGTGTATGGACTGTTGTTAACACAGCTGAGTTCTTTCTTTGACAGCTGCATTTTCAGGACAAGCTTTCAGGGTTTATCTCCTTCTTCTAAGGTCCAAACAGTACTTCCAAGGTCCAAGTACACCAAAAGCTTGTCCTCAAAAATTAGAGCTCATCTCCAGGGAAAGGAAAATCCCCCCTTGCAGCAGGGCTGCCCCCACACTGCAAGGGTTACATACTTGTTTAGGTTACATACTTGTTTAGGTTTTTACTTACCCAATCCTTCACTATCCTGGCAGTTGGCAATCTCTACTCCCCTATATACCAGTAGTGGACTGTCCTTCGGCATTCTCAAATCCAGTGATGTGCTCTGCATCTGATGATATCAGAGGACCTACGACTGCTGGATCATATGGGAGAAGAGGCAGAGGGTGCCAGTCTTACAGCTTGGAGCAGTGGATCAGGTAAGTAAAAGTGCTTTTTGCAGCCCCTTAGATCAAACAAGCATTTAGCCCTTGCAGTGCAGGAACATTTTCAGCCTTTCTCAGCCTTACTCTAGAGGAACTCTTGAAATAATTTTTAGGTCTCAAGGAAACTCTGGAAAAACCAATTAATTGGAGGCTAATGGGAAAAATGCTCTTTGAATGGGTGGTCAGTGGAACAAATGCCCACTTATGGACAGCTAAAAAGATCATTGGCATTCTTCAGCTGGCTCTGCCAAGTAGCGGTGACCCCAGAAACTATGGAGGCACCATCAAATAGGAGATCAACCATTAACCCCCAGCAACCTCTGGAGGAACCCTAGGGTTTCAAGAACCCTTGTGGAGTATGGCCATCATTAGAATATTGTGGTGTGAGGCTGACAGCAAAGAAAACTGGGGAAAGTGGAGCTGCTCTCTATAGTTTATTCACACTTCATTATGGGGGATAGTTTATGAATG